TGCTATGATACAAGGCGTATTCATTGATTCACACAATAAGGTTTTGGATATGATCATTGAGAATATCAACAGGTTTCGTGTAGGACCATACCCATTACCATAAATAATTCCATTCATTATGTTGTAAATCTAGATTTTATTATCCTTATTGGTCATATATTTTATTATAAAAAGACTATTAATTAAATAAATTTTGACCTTAAATCTACGTTAACTAAGATTAGACCTAATCTTAATATATACTAAATAAAAAATGAAATCTTGTACTATGTTGGGCTCCTGCAATTGTTCTCAATGCATTGATTGGAATGCTCCATTGTACCAACTCTGTTTCTCTAACAAATGTGAAATAAAATCTTTTCCAGATTATGAAACATATTGTGCTTCTTGTATTCCACGAGATAAAGAAACCATTGTTTTTATTATCGGTGATATAAAAAAAAAGATCGTAACAAGGTGAGATATAATCAAAAACCAAACGAATTCTCTCTTCGCATTACTACTAAATGATGGTAATATCAAACGAGATAACGACCATGTCTTTGAGGTTCCACTTAATCCGAAGTTTCTGAATGAAATTGAACATGCGCTTCAAGGCCATGAAGTGATTACTGAATATGAAAATAAAGATCTTAAAAATGAGTTATATTTCTTTACCGGTGGAGAAAATATCGAACTACTTTTTGAATCGAAAGATTTATGTTCGTGTGGTAACAGGAGATACAAAAAGAATTCGAAATGTAAAGAGTACCATGAAAACTTATTAAAGGAACTTGTGCCACTGTGTGGATCATGTAAAAAGAGAAAGGTTGGTTGGGACAAGAGTAGGAAGCATTATTTTAAATTATGCATAGATTGTAGTCGTAAACAGGTATCATGCAGCATGTGTAAATCTGGTAAAAGATATTGGAATCCCAAGAAAAGGATAAATGCAAAATGTGTAATGATTTCATAGAGATGAATAATTCTAATCCAGATTTGAAGATCATTTGTAAAGATTGTAGTAATAAATGGGGACAGATAGTAAGACACGTGAAGGGTAGACACTGTTAGTTAATAGTTTGTGATATTTTGTATTTTATTTAGTTATTTTAATTCTAGTAAATAAATATATTTATTTAAATTATAAATTAATCATCTTTAACCTTGAGTGCTAGGTAATAATGGATATACGTATTTCCAGTTTCATATTTAATAAGCAATGGTATTATATCTGATATACAGACCTTTACCATTGAGACAATATAGATGCCTTGGTGAAACTTATCAGATATTTTAGGGAAAATGACATGTTGATATTTTCTCCTATCGTGATTGTTATCTTATCATTCGTAATGCTATTATTTTTTTCTAGTTTAGTTGTATACCTGATATTAATATCATCCTTTGTATTTAAATTCACAACCCCTGTTTCTTGATTAGTAGTTATGGTTAGATGATCTTCTGCGATTGTTTGATCTTGGCATATTCTTTTAAACTCACTGGATGCCATTTCAATAAATATATTGTATACAACCGCTGGTATATCAATTTGCTCCTGGTCAATATCAAGTAATCTGATCTCATATTTGGTCTCTTTACCATTGTCAGGATTTATAAATATCACATATAACCTATCAGAAGTATTTTTTTTAAGTTTCAGGGTTAAGGTATCATTGTCACTCGCTCGATTTAATACCTTGCCTAATGTTACAAGGCTAATACCAATTGTTATCTCTCGTTCACAGGTATAATCTTGGAAATCATCATAATCAAGGTGAACCGAGATGAATGAAATATGTGACCCATCCATGGCACTGAACTCTATACCTGATTCTGTAAATCGAAAATTTACATCATTTACAAGTTCTTTGGTTGATTCGATTATTCGTTTAAACAATGATGACCTGGCAAACATAACCTCAAGCATAGTTAATTTTTTATCATAATCTTATGAGTTTATTTATAATTATTAAGGTTACACATCAAATCTTATAAACTAGTAATCGTAACTAGAATTTATACTATAATAAAACTTTACAAGTGATAATACCTATCATAATCTACATTTACATTTTAATATCAAATGTAATCTAAGCAATTCTGGTGAGATAACCTCTTTACAAAAATTACAGCAAAACATATTGATCATGTCATATTGATTAAAATACTTATTCATAATTTTACGGTTTAAACCTGTCACGGGAGGATCACTTTTCTTTACGATACATAAGGTTTCTTAACATTTTTGTTTCCCCTAACAATATTTTTTTTCTTTACAGATTTGGTTTTTTGAAGTTTTCGAATCGGATCACTTGTATTGGGTTTCTTTACACTCTTTTTGCTAGTTTCTTGTTCGAGAAGTACTTTTCACTAAATTTTCCATTCTTAACATATTCTCTCCAATCATTGTTATGTTTTGTGGTGAAATGTTTTTTCATGGTCGATACCTTGGGGTTTGTTCGAAACATATATCCACAGACTAAACATTTATTTTTACGAAAATAAAATATTATCGAATGTTTTTT